AACCCCAAAACTCCATGACAGAGGTCCATAGGGTCACAGAGAGCTGCACATGAATAAATAACTTAACATTTTGGGGCAGCTAGGAGGCACAATGGACAGAGCACTAGACCTATCTTCATGAATTCAAATATGGTCTTGGAAACTTAATAACTGGATGACTGTAGGCAAATCAGTTAACCCTGTTTGCCTCAGTTTCCTCATCTGTAAAGTGAGCTATAGAAGGAAATGGCAAAACCACTCCGGTATATTTTACCAAAAAAAAAAGGGGGGGTCACAAAAAGTTGGAAATAACTGAACACCAACAAAACAACCTTCAGAAGAGGAATTGAACATGCTCAGATTGACCCAGAGAGATGAGATAAGAGCAATCTATAGAAATTGTAAAGAGGGAGATTTCAGCTTGATATGTGGAACCAGATTATGACGGTGAGCACAGCTGAAGAATGAAATGGACTGCCTCAGGATAAATGAAAGGATGGACAGATGATGGGTGAAGGAAAAAGCATTTATTAAGTGCTTATTTTGTGTTACAGACTGGAGATGCAAACACAAAAATGAAGCATTCTTTCCCTCAAGAAGCTAATATTCTTACTGGGGAGAGGGAGAGAAAAATAGGAACTTGTGATTTTATTGTTATATGGTACTGACTTGTATTACAGGAATGTAGGTGGTGCAGCGGATGGAGCGCTAAGCCTGGAGTCAGGAAGACTTGAGTTCAAACATAGCCTGCCATACTAACTGTATGACCTTGGGCAAATCATTTAACTTTGGTCTGCCTCAGTTTTCTCAACTGTAAAATGTGGATAATAATAATACCTACCTCGCAGGGTTGTTGTGAGAATCAAATGAGGTAATGTTTGGAAAAGTTCTTAGCACAACATCTGGCACATAGTAGGCTCTATAAAAATGCTTATTCCTTATCCCATAGCACCTGCAGAGCCAGTGCCAAGCCAGTCAAACCCATAGCACCAGTGCTGGAAAGCTCCCAACTGCTGGTGGTGGACCAAAGAACTAAGGAACAGAGGGAGTGGGGCAGGGTATCAGACCAAACGAGTGGAGGCAGCACTCCACCAAGCTAGAAGGAAAGGTCATGGCATTTGGCTGGGGCTAGTTCAGATTACCCAAAAGGCAGTTTGGGCACAGACCCAGGCTGAGGAATTGTGAATTGTCCAGGATGGGAGGAGGCTGAGAAATTTTGAGATCCAACCCCTAAGGAAACCACAGTCAGAGGGGAGGGAGTCAGAAAGTAAAATAGGAGAAATAAAGACTGAAATTACCAAAGATTTCAGGAAGAAGAAAACTCAAAGACCTTGAACATATACAGATAAATCAACAGGGAAAACATTAACAACATAAGGAAATATGGCCTCCAGATCTAGTAAATGAGTTCAGGCATCTATGAATAAATACTGCAAAACAAAAGAAAATGATCCAACATTTGATGAGACAGAGGACCCTGTGGAATGTGAGAAGACCATAGAATCATAATACACTGTTCTTGAGTGATTTAAAAAAGAAACGAGAAATACAAGAGTAGAATTTATGCCCTGAACAGCAAAAATAATTGGCAGAATAGAAAAATTAGAATCTACAATGTCAAGCCTTACCAAAGAAACAAATGAGAGAGCAATAATAGATTGGGAATGCAAATACACAGACGTGAAAGATAATCTAGAAGAAGAAAAGCAAAAAACCACTAACATTGAAAGTAGATATAATCACTATGCAAGCAAAACATATTGATCTCAAACACAGGATGTACAGAGATAATCTAAGGATCATAGATCTCCCAGAACATGATAGGACAAAAAAAAATCTTAATGCTATAATGAAAAGAAGAAGAAGAGGAACAAAAACAAGAACAAGAACAACACTGTCCAGAACTCCTTAACATAGAAAATGAAATACCAATCAAAAGAATTCACAGATCGCCTCCAGAAACAAGACAAAACAACCAAGGCTGCAAATTTAATGATTCAATTCGAAAACAACAAGCTTTTCAAGCCATCAAGAGAAAGACCTCCAAATATAAAGGAAAGGATATTCAAATAACAAGACTATTCTTCACCCACCAGGAAATGGAGGAGGGAATGGAATAATGTGTTCCAAAGAGCAATGGAGCTCAGCATGTAGCACAGGCTGACCAACCAGTCTTGTAAATCTGAGCTCAACCATGCATGAAAAGAAGATGAATATTCAATAATAAAAGGTATTTGAAACATTTTAGAAAGAAAACCAGAACTGAAGAGATTACTCGCTTCTCAAACACCCCGAACAGCAGAATTGCAGGAGGGAATAAATCTAGCAATCAAGGACAGCAACAGTAACAGAGTGACAACAGAGAGACCAGTAAGAAATTTCTTTCTAAATATACGTAAGGAGACAGGGGTGAAGGCAGAAGTCTGGTAGAGGTAAGAGTTAAGAGGCTGACATGGGACATTATGAAAAGAACTTTATGACACCCTGCCTATAGGTGAATCAATGTTTTGTTTTGTTTTTTTGTGGGACTGCATTACAACATGGGAGAGTACACAAAAGGGAGGTTGAGGAGCAGGGGGATAGAAAGGAATATATTATGTACCAGGGTCAAATTAAGGGACAGCAGTGAGGGAAAGGTGACCCTTGTGGTCTCAGAAAGAGAAGAACCTACAAGGGAATGGGTGGGGAGGAGGGAAGAAGGATTGAAAAGGGAGGAAAGGAAGGATGCTTTACTTTGGTGGTAGAAGAGGGTTCTACTGATGAATGCTACTATGTGGAGAGAGATGATCCGTGAAGGAAGATTCAGACCTTGCACTTGGTGTGGCCTGGGGCATTTGGTGCTTAAAAAAAGGCTATTCATCCTAGATCAGGAAGGGGGTAGTTGGAACACTGGATGCAACTAGCATTTTAAGGAATGGGATAGCATGGCCAGAGGGAGGAGAGATTTTAAGGCAAATAAGGAAAGAAAGGTAACTAGGGGAGGGGAGGAATATATATTAGTGGCTAGGTGCATAAGCAGTGACATCGTGGGGAAGGGCCTCTACCGCGGGTCAGTGTCCTCTCTGATGCCTGCAATAATTGGCGTTGTTTTGGCATTGAGGGACAATGGAATGGGGGAATCCATTAGGCAAGCTTACAAGGCAGTGGCAGAAACCACCTAGAGGGGAGAGTCTAAAATCAGTATCTCAGGAGCTTTAATTGCATGAAGAATAAAGAAAAAAAAAAGATACTAGGCAATAATAGGCGTCATGAATCAGAGAACGAGGATCTGGAGTAGACACAAAAAGAGGATGGATAATGAGGAGCGACAGAGAAATCCATTTGGGAAAAGGTCACAAAAATGAAATCTTAGAAACTAATGATGGGTGAAGGAGAAGAGAGGAAAAGGGGATCTACTTGACTGAGAGGGGGAAAAGGAGGGTGAAGAATTATATAACCAGATAAAAGCAGGAGAGAAAAAGGAAGTAATAAGTCAAACCTCAAAGGGAAAGGTGCAATAAACGAGAGAAAGGGATCATGAGTCAAAAGAGGAGAGCCAATGGGAAGAGAGACACTTTAAAAAAAAAAAGAATAAGATTTTGCTGTTTGCAGCAGAAGAAGGGAAAAGATCAATGCATAAATATGTACTCCCTTCTGAGAAAATTTCCCCTCTGCCAATTTAAATAGTACCTTTTCTGGTTCTGTAAAGTCTTAGAGAGTTCTAAGAGTTTATATGATTTGATTTGGGTCACTCAGATAGCTTGTTACAAAGGCAGGATTTGAACACAGGTCTTTTTTCCTCTTAGGTAATCAGGGTTAAGTGACTTGCCCAGGGTCATACAGCTGAGGCTGGATTTGAACTCAAGTCCTCCTGATTCCAAGGCCAGAGTTCTATCTACTGTGTCACCTAGCTGCCCCATAAATCCAGGTCTTGATGGCTTTGAGGCCAACTCTCTATCCACAACTATGCCCGGCTGCCTGTCTCTTGCGGGAAAAAAACATAAAGGAGAATGATGGTCCAGGCTGGGTGTTTTGGTCTGGGAAGTCACAGGTTGGGTGAAGGGAATCACAGGAAAATTGAAGATGATGCTTTTCCAGTAGCAATGCCAGTCTTTATTTGATTATGCTTACTCTAACACTTTAGGTTTTCAAAACGTTTTCCTTATAATCACCTTGGAAGGTAATTAGTGTAAATAATCTTGTCCTCCTTTTATGTATAAGGAATCTTATAAAATGCCTTGGTCAGGGTCACCCAGCTGTTACATTTTAGAGCCAGGACTGAAACCCAGGTTTTCTTTTTTCCAACTAATGCTTCTTCTAATTATGCTGCTCCCCACCTCTCCTTCCCCTCCCCATCAATCCATCAATCAATCCTCATAGAGGCAGTGTGCTGTAGTGGACCGAGCTAGATTCTAAGTCAGGAGAGCTGGATTCAAATCCCATGTTTGAATCATACTGGCTGTGTAACCTTGCTTAACTTCTCTCCAAACACCTCTCCAAAATTGTAAGTTACATAACAGTAGTAGATCTGTATGGGTAGAGGGAGTTTCCTCACCAGGAATTTTGGTACCAATAAGATCACAGATCCTGACACCATCATAATCACGATCACTAACATATAGCATTTTAAAGGTTGTAAAGTACTTGACATGCAGGGTGTCCCAAAAGTCTCAGATTCCAAAAGCCTAAAACTGTCTTAAGATTTACTAAAGTTAACACTGCCCTAAGACTTTTGGGATGCTATTAGATTAAAATTGTTAAAGCTTAAAAATGCCCCAAGACTTTCGGGGCACCCTGCTGCATTCAATTTAAATTTAACCCCTTCCAACAACACCACAGGATACGGACTTCCTCATTTTATAATTGAGGAAACTGAGGCAGAGTGAGTTGTCCATGATCATATAGTAAATGTCAGAGGTAGGATTTGAACACAAGCCTCCCTGATTCCAAGTTCAAACTGTTTCTCCTCATTGAAAGGCTTTTCTTTGTTTGTTTGTTTTAGACTCTGGATGCTTACTCATGAGGGATGTAATAGAGGAGAATCCACTTCAGATGAGTATTGGACAAAATGCTCTTCAAGGTCCCTGCCATATCTAAAATTCTGGGAGTTAAAAACTGGACATTCCTTTGCCCTGTGGTATGTTCATCTCTATGGTTGTTTGAAGAGGATATGAAGGCTTGCTTTCTTAATCAGTTATGGTTCTATGGCTTTTTTAGTTTCCTTTGTTAATCCTGGAGCCAATTTAGTGGCAGCCACTTCCAGATTAGGTCAGTAGGGTTTCCCCCACATGAAAGATTCCAGGCTTGAAAAGGAAGTGGAATGAAAACACATTTTAATGTATATAAACAAGGACAGAGATCAGCTTATATAAGGAACAATGGACTCCTATGGAGCGGAATCTCTAAGCCACCAGCTTGCATCAGCTACTTCCTCTACACCAGGAGGTTCTAAATTTTCTTTGTGTCATGGACCCTTCTAACAGTCTGTTTGGAATAACTGCTTATGGAATAATTGATTTTGTCTTGTTTTAATTTTTTTTGTTTGTTTTTTGAGACTGGGTCTCCCAATCTGGTCCAGGCTAGAAGTGCCAAGGCCACTCATGAATCCTACCAATCTCAATGAAAGTTTTGACCTGCCTTTTTTCTGACCTGAGTTGGTATGCCCTTCTTTAGGCAGCCTAGTGGCCTCTCACTCCCTGGGGCCTGCCATATTAGTGTTGGACTTGACACAGACACCCGATTGGCTTTAGCCAGATTGCAACTCAGAACTTCTGAGTTCACATGATACACCAGCCTTAGCTGCTCCAGTAACATGGATTACAGGTGTCCACCACCACACCTGGTCAAAAGAAGGTTTATAAATGCATAAAATAAAATGCCCAAGACAACAAAGGAAAGCAATTATGTTCAAATATAATTTATCTATCTATCATCTATCTATCTATCTATTTTAAAAGTTCATAGATTCCTATGTTAAGAACCCCTCTGCTACACTCTCCACATGACAAGGGTGTTTGACTTTACCTCTCTCCATTTTCCAAATGTCTGTGGCATTTCTGAGAGCTGACCTAAGCTGATTATATGTAAACAGGATGAAAGGGGTACACAAGGGAATTATTGTTGATGTGAATTGTGGCGTATGTGTGTGTGTCCATGTGTACTAGAGAAGTTGGTGAGATGGGAGTTGGGTTTCCTTGGGCGATGGCTGATGGAAATTCGATAAGTGCTTTGGTAAACACTGGAATAAAATGAGCAGCAGTGTATTTCAGAAAAGCCTAGACTAGGTTTAGTTGCTAAAAGCAGCCATGCTTTAAGACCCATAGAGCACGTTATGGGATAATCTATCCCTGCTGGAGGATCTGTGAAAGAATCTTGGCCTCAGTCAGACTGCACTGAGATCTCTCTCTTTTATGCAATCTTTGTTTCCAGGTGCTCAACTTTCTCAGGTTCTCAGATGCCACTTAACTAGGGGACTTCTGCTAGACAAGCTCCTCACCTTTTCAGTGCTGCCTCTCAGCAGCTAGAGTATTTAAAACAAACTCTCCTTCACTCTGAAGAATCCATCCAGCTGGCCACTAGGGAGGGTGGAGAGAGCCATGGCTGGATCACTCAACAAAGCAAATATTAAATGTCCTAGCCACTGAGTTTCACCCAGAGGAACAGAACTACTTGAAGCTATTCCAGATATCTACAAGGAATGACTGGCACTGTGGAAACTTACCATATCCACCCTCCACACACACACACCATCAAGGCTGAGAACTTTAGAGCCAGGAGGCACCTAAAAGATCATCTTGTCCAGTCTCCCCCACCCATCCATTTTACCTTATTTTTAAAGGTAGGTGCTCATTTCCCCTTTTCAGTCCCTTCCTTCTTTCTTTCCTTCCTTCCTTCCTTCCTTCCTTCCTTCCTTCCTTCCTTCCTTCCTTCTCCCTCCTTTGGAGGATTCACTTAGCACAATGCCTTGCACATAGTAGGTGCTTCATAAATGTGTATTGATTGATTGATTAATAAGAGCAGCTGATATTTAGGTCAATATAAAGAAAGCATTGTACATATTACCTCACTGGAGCCTAGTAACAACTCTGTGAGGCAAATACTAGGAGTATTACTATTATAATAATGTACTACTTTATAGATAAGGAAACTGAGGTCAGGTGACTTGCCCAGGGGTCACATAGTGAGTATCAGAGAGACTATTTAAATCCAGATCTTTCGAATTCCAAGTGCAACACTCTATCCCTTGCCACAATGAGTTCCACAGGTTGGAGCAAATAAGGCCTTAAACTATAGTGGCATCTGATTTGACCTTAGAGGCTGGGAAAGGGAGTTCACTATTACAAAGCTGGAAAGGTAGATTGGCGCCACATCATCAAGAGCATTAGACATTTTGAAGGAGGAGCTGGCAGGATGCTGTGACTGATTAAACACAAAGGATAATGGAAATGGAAAAGTCAAGGATGACTCCAAAGTTTCAAACTTAGGAAACTGGAAGAATGCCAGTAGTGTTAATCTCCAAGAGGAGGCTATGAAATTTCTTAAGATAGTGGCTTAAGGCCAATCCATACTCAAGTAATCAGGCCTTACTTAGAATAAGAGTTCTTATCCTTTTGTGTTAAGAATACCTGGACCCTTGGGGCAGCTAGGTGTCACAGTGGATAGAACACAGGCCCTGGAGTCAGGAGGATCTGAGTTCAAATCTGACCTCAGACACTTGACACTTACTAGCTGTGTGACCCTGGACAAATCACTTAACTCCATTGTCTAGCCAAAAAGAAATACTCAAAATACTTATATGTTAAGTGATAGTTGATAATTCAAAATAAATTAATTAAAATGATTAAAAAAAAAAAAGAATACCTAGACCCTCACTGGCAGCTAAGTGGTGCAGTGAATCAAGTGTTAGGCCTGGAATCAAGAAGACCTGAGTTCAAATCTGTCCTCAGACACTTACTAACTGTGTGACCCTGGGCAAGTCACTTAACCCTGTTTGCCTCAGTTTCCTCATCTGTTAAATGAGCTAGAGTAGGGAATGATAAACCATTCCAGTATCTTTACCAAGAAAACCCTAAATGGGGTCACAAAGAGTTAAGCCTATAAGCTTCTTGGAATAGTGTGATTAAACACATAAAACAGAACCCACAGAATTACAAAAGAACCAATTATAATGAAATAGAATTATTGAAATATGTTTTAAAAAATTCATGGACTCTAGGTTAAGAATCCATAGCTTAGAAGAAGCCTTAAAATTTATATTTCAGGAATGAGGAAAATTCATGGAGTCAGGAGATAGTGTCTTGTGTGAAAAATAACAGAGAATCCAGCGTCATTGGATTGCAAAGTATACGGGAGTGAAGGAAATAAGTATTTATATAATGCCTACTATGTGCCAGGCACTGTGCTAAGTGCTTTTTTTTTTAAACAAATATCTCATTTGATACTCACAATGGCTTCATGAGGTAGGTACCATTAATAACCCCATTTTACAGTTGAAGAAACTGAGGTAAATGATGTTAAATGACTTGCCAAGGTCCAAGGCCAAATTTGGACTCAGATCTTCCTAATTCCAGGCCTAGCACTCTATTCACTGAGTCACGTCTACATGGGGAGGGAGGGGGTAGTAAGGTATAAGAAGACTGGAAATGTAGGAGAGGGCCAGGTTAGGAAGGGCTTTGAATGTCGAAAACAGCGTTTTGCAGTTGATCCTGGAGGTGATAGGGAGCCACTGATTTATTGAAGAAGGTGAGGAGGGCTGTGGTGACACAATCAGACTCGTGCTTTAGGAAGATTTATTTGACAGTTGACTGGAGAATGGGCTAAGTGGAGGATAGTCTTGTAGAGATGGCTAGGGACTAAGAAGTTCAATGACTTACCCCAGGTCACATACCTTGTATGTGTCAGGACTTGAACTCAGATCTATCTGATTCTAAGACTAATTCTCTACCAACCATGCCAACTGATGTGACATATATATATATATATACATATATGTTCTATATATGTACATACGTATCTATTCTATTTTAGAAGCAGCATGGCATAATAGAGTAGTCTTTGAAGCCAAGAAGAATCGGGTTTAGGTCCTGCTTATGATACATCCTGGCTGTGTGTCCCTAGGCAAGTCACAACTTTTCAGTCCTCTGGACAGTTCTCTAGGACAAGCTGAGTTGTTGATAGAGGGAGTTTCCTCATCACAGAGCCCCTATACTAATGAAATCCCAGATCCAGTCCTATGAGTGCACACATGTACATACATGTGGTTATGTATATGTATATAAAGTTTCTATTCTCAGGTTTGATCCTAACCTGCTCTGTTACCTCAGGCAGAGCACCGTAGAACTGGACGGTTAGTCTAATCTCTACCACTTCTCATTGTGCCTCAGTTTTCTCCTCTGTAAAATGAGAGGGGTGAGCTAGGTTGTCTCTAAATTCCTGTAGAGTTCTAACATTTTAACAGGCTGTGGAAGCCACAGCCTGTTCCTTCAGAAAGTGTGAGGTTGCTTGATTCATTAATTTTGAAGTTATTGAGATAATATAATAATAATTTATAGGTAATGATACATAATATTGACTTATTTATGTAGCAATTTCAAATTTCAAAAGCACTTCATATTAAAAATAATATTTATGATTAATATCATTAGTTCAAGACCTCCCTAGTCTTGTGACCAGTGAGTCTTTAGCCTCTAGCCTGGAGCTCTGAGAGACTGAGATATGTCCAAGGTCACACAAATAATACATATCAGAGGCAGAACTATGAACCCAGGCTTTTCTGACTCTAAAGAATGCTCTCTAGCCCGTGAGCCATGCTGCCTTTCATCTTACATTTATTACATGTGTCATTTACATATGTTAATCTGACCCTCATATCTACTTTGTTAGGTAGGCAAGAACATGTATTATCCTCTGTTTTACAGAAGAGATAGTAGCATGCCCAAGGTTATACAGTGATTAATTGGCAAAAACCGGAATGCAAATCCTGGGCTCCTGACACCAGAACCAGTGTTCTTCCTTCTTCTAAATCACAGTCAGCCAACAAGCATTTATTAAGTGCTCATTATGCATCTGTGGTAAGGGCTATAATGAAAGACAAAAACAGTCCTTGGCCTCAGGAGCTCACTTGCTAATAAAATTTCTCTGCAAGAGGGCATCAATACAAAACCCTTCTCAAGTGTTGGAAATTCATTGTATCTTGTATGAGTTCTCATACAAGAATTGATATTGAACTCTTCCAGTGAAAAATCATACTGAAGGAGGCTGAATGGTGATGAAAAGTTGTGATGTTCCAACATATTCAACCTCTTCCTTATTTGGTTCACCATAGAAAATGTGAAAGCGAAAGGATCTGGAAATAAAATTGAAACTAACCACTCTCATTCCTTTCATGAAGGGCAGGGCAAGTTACTAAACCAGAATGACAAGTGGCGAGGCCGGCTGTCACTATCCTGCCCCTTGAAATGCAAGTCAGAACCATATGATGGTTCACCCTTCCCTTCGTCTCTGCTTTCACCTCATGTTAAGTCAGCCCTGTTGCCTGGAGGGAGAGAGGCGATTGTATCCATCCACATTCATCCATTGGTGTGGTCTCTTGGGGGCACTGTACCTTTCCAGGGGATAGTTACTACTTCACTGGAAACAAGTTTTGACTGCTTAGCTATTAGGAGGCCACCAATTCATGCATATGTTACACACCTGTATGCATATTCATCCACACAAATGTGCTCATGCACACGTACACACACCCCCTTCCCCTCCCCCCAAACAAGTGCAGGCAGCCTGTTTGACTCTGACCCTTCCTGCCCCCTTGGCTTTACAACTCCTGCCCTTGGGCTGTGGGAAGAGATACTGTTGTTTATTCTCTAGGAGGGACTGACCTTTCTGTACTCTGCCCTTGGGAGGCCATTGCTGAGGGTGGGGGAGAGGGAGGGGAAGCAGATTGAGTTGGGGTGGAGTGGAACTAACTCCTTTATACCCCTTTTGACCATTTGTAGATTGTCAAACTGTATCAGCCGAGTATATTTGGTTACTTGAATTTCTCATTTCCTGGGGATTAATTAGAAAACTCTCTTTGTTTCTTTGGAATATAAAATTTATAATTAAAAGAAACTTAATAGCTCATTGAACCTGACACCTTCCCCAGGCCCATTTTTTACATAAGGATACTGAGGCTTAGTAAGAAACTGTGACTTGCTTAAAAATGACTTAGAAGCAGAGCTGGGCCACAGGCCCTTTGACTTCAAATTCAGTGCTCTTTCCACTACATTGTCCTATTTCCTTCCATATTGATCACTGGCAATCTTTATAAAACAGATTTACCTTTGTAATAATAATAGCAAACATCCACATAGCATTTTAAGGTTTGCAGAGTGCTATATTTATGTTGTTTCATAGGATCCTCACAACAACCCTGGGAGACAGGTGCTCTCCATTTTATAGAAGAGGAAACAGTGAAAGAGTTTAAGTGACCTGCTCAGCAGGCATCGCAGCTTGCATGTGTCTGAAGCAGAATCTGAACTCAGATTTTCTTATTCCCCAGGGCTAACTCTATATCCTTTGTACCACCTAGCTGCCTTACTATACTTGGAAACCCAGCACTCTTAGATACAGTGGGGTGAGGATGACTGAATTTGTTTTGCCCACAAGGTCATCATTTTGAATAACAGAAGCATTTTTTTTTCAGCGCTAGAGATGTAGGTATAGAAGGTTGATTATGTGGTGATCTCCAGGAAGCTCTCTGGAAGGGGTGTGTGTGTGTGTGTGTGTGTGTGTGTGTGTGTGTGTGTGTATGCATGTTTTTACTTTTTCTGTTCTCAAATGAAATCCCAAGAAAACTCTTTGTTTTCTTTTGATTGGCTTTCTTCTCCTAAAAGGAGAACACAAAAAACTAAAACAAAAACAAACAAACAAAAAACCACACCCAAACAAAAACACCTCCATGGAATCTGATTCCAATTAAGTAAAGCTGTACTTACTTATCAGCAGGAGCAGGTGGACAGGCAGACCCGGGTCCTTGGTAGCGTGACCGATTCAGATTTTCCAGACCTTCCAGCTGGCTTCAGAGGGTCATCGGGCCTAAACCGGGAGCTCCCATCCCAGGCATGCTCAGCATTGACAAACTCCACTCTATGTCCTCCTAGATGATTTTTCCATTGACAAAAGAAAATGAAAGGGATTTGTAAAGGAATTCAAGCCCCATAAGACAGTCACTAATCCCCCTCTGGAGCTTGTCTGAGAAGGACCATTCTGGTTTGAACTACACAGATCCATTAGAGGCGACAGACCCTGGAGTCTGCTTGCTTTCCTGCTTCTGATAGGCAATGTCCTGATTCATTGAGAGGGGAAGCAGGAGGAGAAAAAGAAAAGGTCCCCAATACTTCACTGAGAAGGTTTGGTTCCAATTGAATAGCTGCACTGAGTGAGAGAGGTCTATACATTATGGCTCCTTTATTCTGTCAAGCAGTTATCCCTTTGAGTCTGAAATGCCTAATGGAAACAGCCAACCATAGAACTGCCTCATTTACAGCAAATAAACCCCTCTCATTTCTGTCTTCCCACAGCCTTCCCTTTTATTTCCCGCAAATCCATGAAGACTCGGGGTAGAATTCTGAAGCAACTCCAGCAAAGCTGGGCCGGAAATAACCTGTGCTCATAGACCTGAAAGTGGTGGGGGAGGGGGAAGGGCAGGAGTAAGTCCAGGATCGTTTTATTAAATAAGAATGGACTTTGTGATCTCCTATTTTCCTTAATGAGGAGGAAATCCTATTGAGCTCGACTCAAAAGACAACCTAGGCTTCGATAAGGCAACTCAGTTCAATTGCACAAACATATGAGCTAGGCACTGTGCTAGGAAGCAGACAAAGACAAAACCAAACTACCTTTCCTCTTGAAGTTTATATTCTATTCCAGGGATACAGGAGGGAAAAGGTATAAATATGTAAATCAACACAAGATATCTACAAGTAAATTCTGGAGTGAGGGCACGGGTCTAACATGAAGGGTGATTGTTAGCTAAAGAACAGGAATACCAGCAGACAAAATGGAAAGGTAGAGAGGATAGGAACAATGGAGAGTTGAGATTGAGATGGGGTTGATACTGATGTCAACTGCCTAGTGGCAGCTAGGGGGTGAAGTGGATAGAGTGCTGGGCCTGGAGTCAGGAGGACCTGAGTTCAAATTCAGCAGACACTGAGCAGCTTGCTGTGTGGCCCTGGGCAAGACACTTAACCTCTGTCTGCCTCCAGTCACTTCAATGAGGATAATCATGGCACCTACCTCCCAGGGTGGTGGTAAGGATCAAATGAGTTGATATTTGTAAGGTACTTAAGAAAAAATGTTTATTCCAACCATCCCTATGGATGGCTATGAAGGGAGTGATGATGGTCAACAGGGGGACTTTGGCTTGGGTGGTCTATGTACAGCCCATAATCATATTTAGAATAGAGCCATGAATAGAATGATGAACTTAGAGTCAGGAAGATTTGGATACAAATTCATCCTCAGATACTCACTGGGTATGACCCCAGGGAAATCACTTCCCCCAGACTCAGTTTCTTCATCTGTAAAATAGCATTAATAGCACTTCTACCTCATAGGAATGTTGTGAGGATCAAATGAGATAATGTATGGAAAGAGGTATATAGTGTATCCCATGCAGCAGTTCAATGAGAATAGGCCAAGACTTGCAATATTTTAGCATGATCTAGATTTTCAAAGATTACTTTCCTCCTTTTAAGTAGCTTTTAAAAAAATATTTGCCAAGCAATGTCTTGTTTTCTTCTGTTTCTTCCCTTTTTAATTTTTTTAGACTTTGCAAAAGAAAAAAAAATGAAACAAGCTTGACCTCAGGACAAGACTTTAGAACTTTGTAAAAGGGATTTAATTTCACATTTTTAATAATTGCAGACTAAATCACTTTAAAGCAATGGCTCTGTTCCCAAAAGAGACTGAGGAGAGTTGATGGGGCTCTAGAGGTAAGAAAGGAATAAGGGTAGGATGAGACCAGTGTCACCATTGCTGAGAATCCAAACAGAGAGAAGAAATTTTGCTTTTCATTGTCTTTCCTGATTGTCGGGAATGAGAATGATATTCTACTTTAGGAATGTCTACTGCATTACTCTTTAATGATTTACATAGGTAGGAAGTGATTTACTGATTTGAGGAGTTGGGCATTCCCAAACTTGTGTCCTCCTATGGCCCCAGCATCCCACATCTGCTGATCGATGATTTCCCCACACTTGGAGTCAAAGACAGTAATTCTCCCCAAACAGCCATCAGCCCTGCCAACAGTGCGTGTCCAGACAGGAGACTTAGAGCTCCTTTGATGGGAAAAGGAGATATTGGCCCCGTAGCACTGGGGATTCTCCCAACTCTTTCCAAGAAGAGCCAAGAATTTTCCCTTGCAAGTTGCCAAAAGAAAAGGATTAAGGGAAATAACTGGATTTGTGACTTCATGTGACTGGAATAAGGACACCCACCCCCACCCAGCCACAAAAAGCCAAATCACAGAGAAAAGCCAAAATCTCAGAGGTTGCCCCTTGGCCAGTTATTAGAATCCTACAATCTATCGAGTTAGAAGACACCTTAGAGGTCATCTGAGATTGTCCAACTCCCTCATTTTACAAATAAGGAAACACCACCTCATTCCCATAACCACCTCATTCTCCTTGAGCTTCTTCTAGCCTTTGCCCCTTCTCAGATCTCTAAGTAGGGGTGTGCTGGAACCTGCCAGAACAGTTTGCAAAAAGCCTATTGTTAAATTATCAATGTGAAGATCTCAGAAATCTGGCTACAAATCAGGTCTTGATTTGTTTTTTGTTGTTGTTGATCATACAAGAAAGTGATAGATAAAATGTAATACTGCAGATTAAACTTAAATGTTTATCACACCTTTTCAGAAAGCCCATTGTTAAACATTTACTAGGACACCCCTTCTTCTAAGGAACTGTCATTTTCTCTCTGGGACACCAATCATCCTAAGATTGTAGATTCAGATCTGGAAAAGACCTTTGGATATCATTTGGCTCAACAACCTCATTTTATAGATGAGGAAACTGTAACTGAGAGAGTTTAAGTGTCACCTAAGGTCAAACGGTATTCAAAACCAGGATTTGAACTCAAGTCCTTTTATTCCAAATCCTGTGATCTCTTCTCCACCTGAAAATTGAGGGGTTCATAACCTCGGGTCTATGAACTTGATTTTTTTTTAAATCAGCTAACCACATTTCAATATAATTGGTTTTCTTTATATAATTCTACTTATTTTATTTATTTATTTTTTTATTTAACAGTAGCATTCTTAGAAAGGGGCCATAAGCATTACCAGATTGCCAGTAGGAGTACATGACACAAAAAGAGGTTAAGAATCCCTGAACAGGTGGAGCAGTGGATAGAGTGCTGGGCCTGGAGTCAGGAGGACCTGAGTTCAAATCTGGCTTCAAACACTTACTAGTTGTGTGACCTGGGCAAGTCACTTCACCCTGTTTGCCTCAGTTTCCTCATCTGTAAAATGAGCTGGAGAAGGAAATGGCAAACCCCACTCCAGCACCATTGCCAAGAAAACCTCATGGATTGTATCTCTATGAAATTGTCCACAGGGTCATGGATAGTCAGACATGACTGAATGACTAAACAATAACAACAGTCCCTTCTCGTTCTAATACTCCATTTTATGTTTGTATTGTGCAAAAGGGCTAGAATGGAGGTGATTCAAATGATTTTAATCTATGATGCCTTACGGTAATTCTCTGTCAGCAATTCTCTCAAAAGTAAGGAGAGGCATAATGGCGGCCTTTCACCTGGGACGTCACTGAGGAAAATTGTTAAACACACTTCTTCCCAATTTGATTGCTCTGCATCCCATGTTTTTGCCCAACCCTTTCTCTAAGCACTTCTTTCTGATGTACTCCATTCTCTGCACATACTTTCTGCAGCCCAGCCCCTCTGCTCCGCTCCCTACTCCAGCCCCATACTGCCACACAGACCTTACCCATGGTGCCAAGCCCACATCACCCCTCTGTCTAACTTTAGCTACTTGCATCTCCTTATCTCATAGGTCAGGCTCTTCGTGCCTTCTGGAGCAAAAACTGGATAATCTAAGCTAATGTAAGAAGACTAAAGAGAATCCAGCAGTCTTCTCGGTCATCCCAGGTAACAGCCACATATTTTAACAAACATGCCCATCTGGGGAAAGGAATTCCCTTGTTTCAAGGCATCTAATTCCAAAAAACTGGTTGTAATAAGGACAATTTTAAGGCAGGCAGAATCAAAAGACAATTCAATGACAGTTAAACATATGTCAAAAGATTTTGGGACAGGGTGAGGCTTTGTGTATTCCCTGAAATCAAGCTGTGTAGGAAGGAGTCTTTCTGTCCTATTGGAGAGGTAGGATAGTGGGATGGACAATATCATGAAGTCACAAGACCTGAGTTCTGGTCCCATCCCTGATTCTAACTAGCTGTGTAACCTCAGTGAAGTCACTGAACTTCTCTAGGCCTCATTTTTCCCATTTGCAAAAATGGTGAGGGGGCTAGATGATATTTAAAGTTTAGACCAGATAAGATTTGAAGATACCTTCCAACTCAAACATCCCACATCCCTAATTCTATAACTATCATTTGCCTAGCCTCTCTCACTTGTTTGTCATAAGGATCAAATGAAAAGATATATTTGAAAATGGTTGGTGAACTGTGATGTCTATATATCTCTTAGGTAATGTTAATTGCTAAATGAAAGGCTGGCTGCACTTGAATTTTGGTTCATATAAGGTAGTGTTATTTTTTTCTTTTCTAAAGGGGATATGGAGAGGTCTTCCTGTCTCCACCTAGGTTTTCCTGTTCCAACCCAAACTAAATTGCAGACCAGAAAAATATCTAAGTTCTTGACCTCATAGTACTTAGTTCTCTTAAAACTCTATATGGAGTGCTTCTGGAAAGGGGTAGAGTGTAGAGACTAGTAGACATGGAATGAAGAAGCTGAGATGGAAGGAATAGAATCCAAAAAAAGAAAGGAAAGAAGGGAAAAGGGAAAGAAAAGGAGAAGAAAGAAGGAGGGGGGGAAATAAGAGAGGAGAAGGAGAAGGAGAAAAAGGAGGAGCAAGAGAAAGAGAAGGGAAAAGAGAAAGAAGGGAAAGGAGGAGAAAGAAGGAGGGGAAAAAAGAAGAGAAGAGGAAAAGGAGGAACAAGAGAAAGAGGAGAAGGTAGAGGAGAAAAAGAAAGAAAAGGTCAGTTTTATAATTTTTTAAGGTTTTACAAAGTAAGCACATCATAGAACAAAAGCTTTTCAAACCAGTAAAAATTTCATGGGAACATTTTTTGGGGAAATTCAGTTTAACTCATCAAATATTTATTAAGAACCTACTATGTGCCATATACTGTGCTAGACACTGAGGAAGATGCAAAAGTGAAGTAGTCCCTGCCCTCAAGGAGTTTATCTTCTAATAGGGAATGCTTCTCTAAGGGAAATCTCATTCTTTATTTTCAGTTCTTAAATATCACCTTTCCACTAAAACCCAATCAAATAATCCCTCAGAGAAAGATTAACACTGGTTTGAGCTTTAGTAAATTGCTCTAGGGCAGCTGGGTGGTCATAGTGCACAGTCCACAGCTGGGCCTGGAGTCAGGAAAATTCATCGTTCAGAGTTCAAATCTGGCCTCAGGCACTTCGTAGCTGTGTGACCCTGGGCAAGTCGCTTAACCCCGTTTGCCTCGGCTACCTCTTACAAAATGAGTTGGAGAAGGAAATGGCAAACCACTCCAATATCTTTGCCAATAAAACCCCAAATAAAGTCTCAAAGAGTCTGACACAACTGAAAACTGACTGAACAACAATAAAAACTTGAGAGGTTAGTCTCAAAGCCTCTAACCTCTAGCGTGATTCCCTAAAGCACTGTAGCCCCTTAGTCATGAAAATAGAAGCTCAGTACACAAGGGGGTCTCAGAAGTCACCTGGTCTCTTCTATCTCTAAGCATAGATTCTATCTATATGATCAATGAAAGGTGGGGATCCAGACTCTACTAATTATGAGGAGCTCACTTCTAAGGAGCCTCATTCTACTTTTAAACAGAACTCCAATATGTAGAGAGTTCTTCCTTACACTGAGTCAAAAATCTGCTTCCTTTGTAACTTACTCTGCTCTTCTGGGGCCACAGAGGAAAAGTCTAATAATCCCTCTCCCACATGAGAGATGCCTTCAGATACCTGAAGGCAGATATCATGCTCCCCCATGGCTTTCTCCTATGCAGACAAAACTTCCTAAGTTGCTTCATCAGATTCTCATGTGGGATACCCTCAAATCTCTTTCAATTTTGTCCACATTCCTCTGGATTCATTGTAGTTTTGTTAATAACTTTCCTAAAATGCGTTGTCCAGAAGTGAACACGATATCTTGGGTTTTAGGAACAGGGAGATAGTTGGATATATAGCACTGCCACCTGACTCATCATCTCCTTCTATAAACAGATCCCTCTTTCCACCCTGCCCAACCCACCATATATACATGCCTCCCTACCCCTGCCATAGCCAAGCAATTCATGATGAGACTCATTCTTCCCTCTCACTTTCCCCTTTGAGAAACTGGGAGATTTGTATGGTGATGAGCGGGGATCCAGTAAGATATTGTATGTAAACATTTTGCCAGGCAACATTTAAAGTGTTCTGTAAATGCCAGCTCCTATTAGCAGTGGTGGTATTATTGTAGTTATAGTAGCCATTGGTAGAGACAGGACAAAAAAAGGAGAGAAGATACAGAGAAGAGTTGGAGTTGGATGATTCTTGTCCTCTTTTTGCATGGGAAGATGGGTGGGCATAAAGATTGGAGAACACTCAACACCTAGCCTCACCTTGATTAATAAACTAGTAAAATATGCAGAAAGAACAATAGCAAACACCAAATTACCCCCATTTAAACCATTAGAGAACACCAGGCTAAGACTTGGGGAGGGGAGCCCTCCTCTAGAGCAGAATTAATATTTTGAATGTGAATTTATATTTATTTGGGGGGAGTGATAGTCAGTCATTTGTCCAAGGGGTCTTGTTTCATTTTCCTCCTTTTAATCAAACTTTCTTCCATAATATTGTGAACTGTGTTCTTGCAAAGAGGAGTCAGTCTCAGTCAAATGGAGGGACCACATGTACATTTTCCCAGATTTCCTTGCAGGGGACTATGAGTCCCCCAAGTCTTAGGCCTTGCAGTCACAAGAGCCAAATAAAGCCCCACAATCTCAAATAGTAGCACCAATGACCAGGACACCTTTTGATACTGTCAGTTCTTGACGTGGAAATTCCAGGATAGGTTGACTAGCCTTCCCCCAATTCACCCAACTTCTTCTCCAATACAGCCTTTTCCTTCCCCAACTCCCTACTACTGATTACATTTTTGTCTGACTTGTCTTTGGGGCAAATTATAAAATCTTTAAGATCAGACTTTTCTGTGGATTGTGAGATCTTATTATGGTGCCATGTACCCTGTGAATGCTAAAAATATCCTTTTTTGCTGGATGGTTTGCTGTGAATGGCCCCCTTAGACTATAGTCCAGAGAGCCCAAGAAAAGCCTGCCTGTGTATATCCTAGTAGAGACAATGAAAATAAATCACTTGGCCAGGATTTCGACTTCTTTAAAAATAATATTTGAACAAAGCCAAGAGCATACCCAATCTTTGTCTCTTTTTAACCTGATGACAGTGATTAGAGGCATTGTTCATTCTTTCCAATCCTGAAACACTTATAAAGCAATATGAACAGATTAGGGATTGGTTTGGGTGTGGGCATGTGTTGGGGGTGAATAATGACCCAGGGTGTGGTATCTGCGTAAATGAGAGAGGTGTGGCTTTCCTTCAGAGCCTGTCCCGAGAGCTTTGACTCTTCTCACAGTTACATCCTCCCAGGGAGACATTCCTTAATGAAGAGAGGAAGGCCCCTACCATCAAGGTCAACCAGCAAGAATAGAAACAGAGGAAACACTGGTTCTTTTCTATGTGGAGAAAGATGGTGACTTGCTACAAAGCACTTGAAAACCAAAGACTCCATATTATTCCCAGGATTTGGTCTGAGCCAGGAATGTTATGGGAAATTTTTCAGTTGTTTTTGGATGTTCCTTTGGTCTGTGCTTGGGTTATCACCTGAACAAGGAGAACCTGGATGCAGTTCAGAGGAAAGTCACAAAGCTCCTGAAAGCATTGGAAAATAAGAAGTGTTTTCACCTCTCAAAGCCTTATCAGCGTGTTTTATATCCTAGTGAAAAATGTATGGCCTCCCCGAACACTGTCCTCCAGTACCTACGGTGGTATGGAGATGGCCTTGGGCTTTCAAAGGCTCTGGCAGTTCCTACCAAGATTTCAAGCATGAGCCCAATAGACCATGTGGCTTCAGTCCAAAGAGGAGCCTAGTTAAGTTTATGGGGTTCATCACCAGGTCGGCCATGCAGAGAAACATTTTTTAGCCATGGCAACTCTTAAAGGTCATTTACTAAATAACAAGAGCGATTATAATCTGTTTTGCCAGACACAATATCATCCCCTGACTACCCCCATCAGATGGTGAGCTCTTGGAGGGCAGGGACGCTTTTTGCCTTTCTTTGTATGCCCAGAACTTAGCACAGTGCCTGGCACATAGTAGGTGCTTAACAAATGCTTTTGTCTGACTACACCCCCTAACCCCCAATGAAGTTACAGACCTTGAACTACTAAAGCTGGAAATCAGGACCTAAGATTGCATTGGTGTAGGGAATTCCTGGGTGAGGAGATTCCCTCTGCCAATGCCTAGAGCAGTGATATCAAACTCAGTTAGAAATGGAGAACATGAAAACCTACATAAGGATCCCTGCAAGCTTCATGTTAACTTAGTTTTAAAATGTAATGCTATTTTTTTGTTTTATGGTATTTTTATTTATTTTGTTAAATATTTCCCAGTTATTTTTAAATTAGGTTCAGTGGTAGGCTGCCTGTTTGATACCTTTAGCCTGGAGCACTGAGAAGGTTAAGTGATTTGTCCAGGGTCACACAGTGAATAAGAATCAGAGGCTAGACTTGAACACCGTTCTTCTTTACTCCAAGGTCTTTGATCTGCTGCGGCTTACTGATCTGTACATAGAAGACATTTAATAAATATTGGTTGGATTAAATTTGAAAGTGAAAGTTT